GGGGAGAGCGCGCCAGCGCTTCTCCCCCCCACCCCCAAAAAAAAAAAATTGAAAAAAAAATAATAATAAAAAAAAAGAAGCAGGGGCTCCCCCCCCGCTCCCCTCCCCTCGCTGTCGGCGGGGAAGGGGCGGGGCGGGGCGGGGCGGGCGGGCGGTGCGGGCGGCGTGTGGGCCGAGTGAGCGGCGGGCGCGCTCCCCGCCGGCCGCTCGCCCCGCTGGCGGGAGAGTGAACTTTGACACGGCTGCTGCAACTCGGCGCGCGTCGCCATGGCGACCGCGCGCCTTATAAGGCAACCGGGCCGGCGCCTGACTGGCCCCGCGCGCGCGCCCCGCCCACCGCCCCTCATTGGCCGCCGCCGCCGCCGCTCCGAGCCCGCCATGGCCGCCGAGCGCCGGCCCTGCCGCCGGGTCCTAAAGCCCGCCCGGCGAGCCCCTCCGTGCCCCGCACCGCGCCCCGCACCGCCCCGCCGGGGCACGGGGGTGACGGCGAGCCCGCCGCACCCGCCTCACCCCGCCTCACCCGCCTCACCTCACCTGGGGCTGCCCTCCTCGGGGGTCGGAGGGGGCGGCGGGGTGAGAAGCGGAAAGCAGGCGCTAAAGCGAGGTAAAACTCCACGGAATAAAGTAAAGCAGAGGGGCGGCCGCCGGTCCCTAGAAAGGGGTCGGGGAGCGCAGTTCGGGTTCACGCCCCGCGGCGCGGGGGAGCCCCGGCCCCGCGGTCGTGCTGCGGGCACGGGGGCGGCGGCACCTGCGCTCGCCGAGCCCCGCGCTGAGCGGAGCCCCGTCCGCCCGCGGAGCCGAGCCGCGATGAGCCGAGCAGAGTTAAGCCGAGCCCGGCCGGGCGTGCTCGGGGCGCTCCGGGACCGGCCGCTCGCACAGCCCCGACCCCGGCGGGGCGCGGGGGCTCCGCCGCTCCGCCCGCTCTCTCCTCGTCCCCGCGGCTCCGCTCAAGGCACCATCGCGGCCGCTCCGCTGCGCGGCATCCCCGTGTTCCCCGCTCGGCATCGCTGCGGCGGGGCTCGCCCCGACCCCTTTAACTTCATTTTGTGGGTCTGGGAGTTTTATGACCACACGTACCCTGACACCGTAACACAAGCTCCGTGCTGCACCGCGAGCAGGTAACAGATCTAAGCGCGGGGACGGGGGTTTATCTCCCGCTGAATGGAACTACCGGGACTCCGAGTCAGTCTCCCGGTACAAATGGCCAAAAGACACTCCAACAAGAGAAGGGACGGAGAGATAAAATAGGAAACATGTTAAAACAGACAGATAAACGCCCGAGAGGATCGTTCCTCCTCTGCGAACGCACGCTTGTATGTGCGCTCACATGTGAGCCGGTCACCAAGCACGGCCGCGGGGACACAGACCTGGGCACAACTCTGCGAGGGATTAATTGCTCCTCACCTCCTCACATACACTTTTTCATGTTGCCACATGCCCACCCACTCCTGCCGCAGAAATAATAGATGTGGCTGAAGCCGCAGGTGTGGAGGTGATTGGAAAGTTGTAAAAAGCACCTCGACTTGACAGTGTCCTGCCTGGAAACCTGGTGTGTTCAGACCCCACGGACGAAGATATTTTGCGGCTCAATTTCAAAGACAAGGCTGCAGCGTTCCCATTGATCCTCACGGAGCAAAAAAATAACCTTTACCCGAAACAGGGACCAGGAGGGACTAGGAAGACAGAAGGGGGAAAGGAATCTTTCCCTGTTAAAATGTGGGGAACTGTCTTATGATTTCCAAATAACCCAGAGCCGAGGAGGTCACCTTTCGGGGAGGGTGGGAGAAGATGGGGGTTCAAAATACAGAATAGTCACAGATTGTTGCTGATGTTGAGTTTCCTGAGGGGGGGAAAAAAAAACCCAGCAAAAACCCAAACCACAACCCAACACCAACCTTTCCTGTCTCGAATCTGACAAAGTAAACAGGATTAATTCACCATATGAAAAAGCATTAACGCCGTCCTAACAAATGCAGAAATCATAAGAGAAAGCGGTTTTAACAGGACGCACAATATTACTAGTTTGAACGTATGATCGTAAAAATGAAAAGCCATTGATATAAGCTTAAAAGCCGCCGTATATGCTGATTGCTCAAGCATTAATGAAGAATGCCCCAGATTAACTATTTGCTCTTCGAGGGATGCAGCGATATAACTACCTATTAGCACCATTAGATGCTTTGCTATTTATTTGAAAACACCCCTACGAGTGGGTTGAGACAGAACAGATGAATGTAAAAATGAACTGCAGCTAATTTCGCTAAATAATCCTCGAAACCTGAGCGCCTCGCAAGGAAGGGGGAGATTCTCCTCTGTCCTTCTCCGAGGCTAATGACAATAGAAATGCTCTGGTTTAAAAGTGAGACTGTGTTGGTTTTCCAAATAAGCAAACGCATCCCTCCTGCCATTTTACTGCAGATGTAAATTTATTTTAATGAGAGGGAGTGGAAGGATTTATTTTGCTAAAATAGAGTAGAGGATAGAGCCGATGTAAATCTTTAGGTTTCAAAAAGAGAGGAGGAAGGAGGGGGAAGCTGCTTTCCTGGCAGAAAGCTGCCTAACAGTCCTCTAATTCTTTCTAGATTAAATCGCAATATGAATACAGCATCGAACAAATACCGAGTTTCGCTCTGAACTCAGTGGAAAGCAGTTACGTCTAACAGAATTCAATGAATTCCTCTTCTCCCTCAATGTAGTATGTGTGTGTTTTTCTCTTCCACCACACTGAAGTTCCATGAATAGGGAAAGTGGCTCCTATTGTGTGCCTCTGAACTTCCAAGTCAATGCAATTTTTAACCACTGGCTTGTGGTACTTTGAAAATCACCAGGGGCTGTCAGAGTTGGGTCCTCTGAAAAATTTACAGTGCTAAATCAGAGCATATGCTGTGAGAGAGGAAAAAAAATTGCTTAAGATTGGAGCAAGTACAGTATCTGGCTGCCCCCTAGTGTAAGTCTCTTATCTGCCTAAAATTCAACTTTAAAAGAAAAGGATCTCTTAAAGGGAAACGACTTTTGGCTCACGTATGCATACGAGAATGAAACTTCTGTACATTTTAATCTGATTAATTCCTAAGGATTTAAAATTAATTGGCTTGGGCACTCCTAGACCGGACTATAAGATTTCTGCATCAGGGTTTCTGCGAGAACTGTACCGAATAGGTATTTTTAAGGGATAGTGGTAAGGGATTGGGGGGGGGGAGATCCTGTTTTGTGATTTTTTTTTTTTTTAACGAGGAACCGTGCCTCTCTTGCTGTTGTCAGAGCAAAACACTTTTGCTGCTTAAAGTCAGATCTACGTCTTTTGCAATAATATTTAAAAAAAAAAAAGGATAAATAATTGCCTTAAAGCCTCAGCCGATCTACCAACCGCACCTTCGGATGGTGAGTATATTCCAGCTTCTTTCCATTGTACTTGCTTAGCCAGGGAAGGGATCGGAGGGGGAGAGGGGATCTCGGCTCTATACCTTCACCACCGACCTTTTTTTTTTTTTTTTTTTTTTTTTACCCCAAATAAACGGTGCCAGCTGCACACGGCGACACGATCCCGGGCAGTTTAATACATATCACTTAAGTTCAGAGCCTTGTCCTGCCCTCCCACCCTCCGGAGCAGGTCGGTCCGCGCTCCCCCCCGAGCAGCCCCGGCGCCGGGCAGGGGCGGCAGCGCCCGGGCGCTGCTCCTGGGGAAATGACTTGGAGGCGCTTTGCCTCGGACCTGGAAGCCGAGTCCGGTCGTTGGGTTTGTTCGCTTGTTTGTTTGTTTGCTGCTTTGCTTTATTTAGCTAAAGGACGTGCTAACTGATGGTGCTGCAATTACACATACTTGGGTCTGCCCCCCTCCCCTCTTCCCCTCCTTAGAGCAACCCACGTAACCTTAGAAACGATCGTTTAAGACGCACGTTAGCTAACATTTGCTTTTTTGGATTTTTTGTTTTCCTTAAAAGAGAAACACAAGAATCACAACACATTGCCCGAAAAAAGTGTCAAAGAAGAAGAAAAAAAACTATAAGTAAACATACCAAAACCATATTTGCCTTGTTCAAGGTCCCAAATCGCTTGCATCTTCCTTTTTCTACCTCTCCTTTAGTTTGGCAGGTGAAAGAAACAAACAAACAAAAAAAAAATCAGACCGCTGTTTGCCCCCCAGAAAGATGTGCGTTGGGTAATTAAAGAGAAGTCTCCTTCTTGGTGTTTATCTAAGCGATTGTGCAAACTGATTAAAAAAAAAAAAAAAGAGAGAGAGAAAAAAAAAAAAGTAAAGTTACAGCCTTCAGGGGGGAAAAAAAGGAGGCAAGGTGAAGGGAATAGATTTCCCACAACCTAAAGGGAAGTGCTTTCGATGTATTATTAGCGATCAGCCTTGGGAGAGAGAGGAAAAAAAAAAAAAACCTGAACACACTCTAACTTTACACAGACAAGATTTCAGGGGGGGCTTTGTACACAGCTGCTTAGGAATGTGCGCCTTGCCTTTAAGAAAAAATCCCCAAGCCCAAGGTAGGAGATGTCTTTGAGTGATCCTTGTCTCATTTCATTCCTTAGAAGGAAGAGCGTCTCGCTACACCTTGTTTGGAGCTGGAAAGGCGAGACTTAGGGGGGAAAAAAAAAAAAAAAAGGAAAAATATTCACAACCCACCCTTCCAATTGGGGAGAAAAAAAATAAGAGAGGGAAATCTCCTAAGTTAATGACTGTGGGGGTAGGATGGATGCGACCGATTTCAGCCCCCCCTCCCCCCCTTTTCCACCTCCCCCCTCCCCGGCAGGAAAAAAAAAAAAGGAAAAGGGAAAAAAAAAAAAGCCAACCGCAAACAACTACAGGCTGAACTATCAACACATGCACCGAAGGGGAAAAAATATATAGTGTCCTGTGTAGGGTCGGCAGGGAACGCAAGCACACGCTAAAGCAAGTTGGGAAAGAATCCGAGCTAATCAGCAACCTCTTTCTCTCTCCTTCTCTCCCTCTCCCCCTCTCTCTCTCTCTCACTGCCCCTGAGATCCCAGCTCGAAAGAGGTACTCCACATTTTTTCATTACCAAAAATCCGTTGCAATAATCATTTGTTGCTAATTGAAACCCTTGGAGACATTTTTCCCCACCCCCTTCACAAACATGGCAACTTTTAGACATGGGAAGCACGTTTAGTTTTATTTTATTAAAAAAAAAATACGGTTAGGAAAAGGCTAAATCTTTCACCCACGAGAAATATCAGCGCGTCAGCCTCTTTCCCCGGGGTGGGGGGGAGGAGTGGGGGCAACGGGACCCCAGTACAGTGAGGGCTTGGGAAAATTTGGAATACATTATACCGCCTTTGGCAGGAGAATACTCTCCAACTAATGGATTCCTGCTCCTTTTTGTGTGTGTGTGTGTATCAGTGTGGGGGGTTTCTGGAAAGAGGGGTGGTGGTCGTGGTGGTGGGGAGCCGAGCTTTTATTTTAAGAAACTGTTAGGGTAGGGAGTGTGTCATACTTGACAAATGGAACAAACGCTCTTCCATTTCTTGCTTGTCCTTGCCTTAAAACAGGAATTAAGTTAACCACAGTGCTGCATGTTAATTGCATGTTTACTGGGCTAATGAAAATTACAAAAGGGTTTTGCCACCTCGATCGGTGATGAAAAAGTATGAAGGCGATTGTCATTGCAGCCTTCGGGGAGGGCCCGGGGGGTGGGGGGAAAGGACCGGGCACGAACAATATTGATCAGAAGAAGGATAAATCTTTTAACTGCTTGTTAATACCATAAATATGGTCTACACAAGTTTCCACTCTTGTTAAGTCTAATCAGTACATGGAAGATGGAGACATAGTCCACTTGAATGAATTTTTATTATTGCCAGAGGGGTACTTGCATCTGTGGGCTCCCTCCCCTCCTCACTTTGAGCCTCCCCCCCCCCTTCCAAAATCCTTCCTTGCAGAGGAGGATCATGAAGGTGTGCAGAAAGAACAGGAGACAAATCCAAGCTTTTCGTCCTTTCTTCATTTTTCCAAACTCTCCTTTTTTTGTAAAGCTGAACGGGTCATGGCGGGGAAAGTCTGAAGGGGGGAGCCCTCCCCGACATCCCCCACCTTTATTCTTGAGATCTGTGGATGAAAGGCTGACCCAGTAATTTAGTTTGATGATAACCATTTTCATGCTTGAAAACAATCTGCCAAATTAAACCTAAATGGAAAGAGCAGTGGGAAAGGTAGTGAGAGCAGGGCATTTTGAAATGCCCCCCACCTCTCCGAAAGGGATTGTTTGGCCAAAGGAGGAGGGAAAGGTAATTAAATAGACTAAAGATGATTTAAATCCCAACCAAAAATAATTCCAGGGAGAAGTTTCCCCCCTCCGGTGTTGCCCAGCCCTGGATTTGAAAACTTTGGCCCAACTTATGGCAATAGCTACAACTTTGCTCCGCAGGGGTCAGAGGTGAGGGCTATTTTAACCCTAAAAGCCTGCGAGTGACCAAGGTTGCGGCTGGGCTCGCAGCACTAATAGCCATAATTACCTCCTCCCCTTCCAGGGACATTCCTCGCAGCAGCAGTGTTAGACGCCGAATTGAAGAAAATCCTGGAGCTGAACATATCTTGGGGGATAAATAACAGCAATATGAAGGAATTTCAGAGCTCTCCCTTTTGCTTGGGGGGATTGAAGCTTTTTTCCTTTTTTTTTTTGCCTTTTTTTTTTCCCCCTCCTCCCCCCCCACCCTCTTGCCAGCATTCCCAAGGCGCTGGGTCTTTGTCTTAGAAGGAATGGAGTGTCTGAATGGTGTGAAAGGGACAGAGAGGGTTGCTTCAAATCGATTTTACTTGTCCTCTCTGTCTTTTCGGATCAACGCCCTTCAATGGACACATAGGTGCTCTTTCAACCAAAAACTTGTGCAACATTTTCTGCCTGTATTGGTGCTAAATACAATAAATGCTGGGCAGATTTTTTTTCTCTTTCTTTCCAAAGCAGAAAGCACCCTAATTAAATTGTTTTATATGGACAGTCAAGACAGACCAATTAAGTATGCATTAGTATAAAGATATATTCGAGAGATAAGCGCTCTATAGGAGCCCTGTCTAGGCAAGGTGTGGAAAGTGTCCTCTCGAAGAGAGGCTATGAGCAAGGTTTCATATGGATTTTTCCCCTCCATTGCCTCCTATACTCGAGTAACGGGCTGAATAAGTTAGCGAAAAGCCATTAGTGAAAGTGGTTTCTAAACAAAGTTAACAGGTGGATGTAGCTGGTTTTAGATTTGAATAACAGTCGCACATCTGTAATACACAGCCATGGATTTATGCAGCGCCTATGCAGGCAATGTCCATTAACAGAGATAAACGCCTTCGACCTATAGCTGAGGTGCAAACGCACAAACATGGGAATAAAATAAATATCTGGGCACCTCTGTGGGCTGCAGGACATGATGTGAGTGAGCACACACAGACGATACAGATATAACTGTGTAGCCATTGTGTACAGGCACCCAGCCTGCATCAAAGGCAGGCACCCGCACACCAGGCAGAGCTGTCTCAGACATCTCACCGGGCACAGCACAGTCCTGGGGTAATTACAAGGGGAAATATTTCCTATTCCAGGCATGGGCTTCCCCAGGAGTGAAATAGCAGATCAGGATAAAACATACACATACACACGCGAACTTCTCTTTCTGCCCATTTTATCACCCTGGGAAAGCTCTCGTTATGGTTAACCACAGGAAACGGGCTTTAAGCTCTTCTCCATTTCCATTATTATTATTTTTTCCCCTTCACTGCAGATTTTCCATCTCGTTCAGAAAAAAAAAAAAAAAAAGCCAAACCAAAAACCAACCAAACCCTAAACAGACAAACAAACAAAAAAGCGCTCTGCCCCCAGCCCTGCCTCAGCCTGGTCCTGGGGCAGGCAGAGCTGCGGGATGCGATGAGGAGGAGGAGGGAGGTGGGCTGGAAGTTGCTGGGGCACCTTCCATCCCTGGGCACTTCGTTCCATCAGAGACTGTGGGGGCGAGCCCCGTGCCCGGAGATGCTGCAGGGCGCGACCGGGGAATCGCCCCTTTATCGTGACATTGCACCGCCGAGACAGGACGGGGTTTTGCTGGAGGGGTCGGGGAGAGGGAATGGAGGGGTTCTGGGATGCGGGGCAACAGTGCGGCGGCCGCCTCCTTTGATACCCATTTCTCAGCAGCGTTCTGGATGTGTCAGCCCATCCCAGGGATACGGGAGACCAGGGTGAATAAGCCATTCCTTGCTTAGGTGCTTTAATGGCACGGTAAACAGGTTAGAAACAGACGTTTTTAAAGACTCAATTTCTCTTTATTGGTTACCTTCGAGGATAAATCATAACAGACCGTATGGGGGGCAAAGAATTCATCTAAAGGAGATCTCAGCAAGTCACTACCCGGACAATAGTCCACCTCCTGTTGGGTTGCGTATTGATCAGGAGAGGAGCTGAGGATGTCGCCACACTAAATATTTACTGATCACACACAAATAGCCGCGACTCGAACGATTTTCTCCTGTGAGGAGAGCAGAGAGAGAAGGGTAAATCATTTTATTAGTGTGTATAAAGCAAAGAGCACACTCTGGCTTGGAGTGTTTTAAGATGTGTCTTCAGCTGGATGAAAAGAGTTAGGGAAATCGATATGGAGTGATTAGACGAGCCAGTCGTGTCAAAGAGAGAGGCTGTGAATTTCATGGATTTGGTTATACCGGGAGGGGGAAAATATACCGAGAGATTAAAGGGAGGAACCCATTGTAGCAGAGCCAATGAAAAAATAATATCTAATCAGACCCGGCAAAGGTAGGGACGGGATAAGACCCACATTTCTAAAGAATCACATCAGCTGGAGAGGGATCAGGGACACACATGAAAGAGGCAAACGGGGGGAGAGCTGGAGAGTAGGAGCCCAGAAATGCTACAGAGCAAATCCAGGAGTAGCAGAGAAAAGTCGCCTCTATGGAGCAAAACTGAGACACCACGAAAATGGGGACAAAAGACTCAGGAGCGAGGGAAAGGACAGGAGGGCTGGAGTAACCGGGCGCCTGCCTTGGAGGTGATGTTGAGGGGTCCCTAGCCCCGTGTATCCACCAGGCAGGGAGGGCTCTATCAGCAGAAGCGAGGGCACATCCACCTCACATCCGAGGGGTTTAAATCCTTCTCCTACAAGTTTGTCCTCCCCTCTCCTTCTCCCCCTTTCCCCACAAGCAAATGTGGTGAGTAAAATGGATTTTAGCTTTTAACCACCTCATTTTATCCACGTAATCACAAGGCTCGTAATATGTAATCTACAGATTACTGCCATTCGAGGGTGACCACAAGTGGCATAAGAAAAAATTTAAAAAAACCCCCAGCATTTCTGCAAATGACAAAATGGTTAAAACCAGCCCCTACTTTAAGTATTGAAGTTGGGGAGTTGCTGCTGCAGGATTTTATCTGTCGTAGGGAGCAATTCAGCCCTGGGGTGTCTCCGCAGATTAAAGAAAACTTCTCTGGAGACAAGCAAATGTCCGAGTGCCAAAGGGCAGAATGCTGGAAGTAGGGCAGGGCTCTGCCAAGCGACCTTAAAACACGTTCTGTAGGGATGCTGGGGATTATTATTATTTTTTTTTGCCTCGAATCCGTGATGTTTGGGCCGTATTCACACATTACCTTCTCTCCGCGTGTTTTTCACAGCAGAAAATGGGATGCGACTGCAAAGAACTAAGTCAAAGGAGCGACAGAAAGTTTGAGCCGCACTTTAAATGATGATGAATGCTGGGAGGGAGGAAAGGCATCTCAAACTAGGAACCGAGGAGTAAAACTGATGTGAAAACAGCTTTTCACTTCTTCTCCAAGTGCTAATTTTGCTACTGTAAACAAACACTGAAGTTAGAAACAGCTGCAAATAGCCTGCCGGGCACCCAGGGCTCAGGGACTGGCAGGGGTGACTTTTGTTCATCCCTCGGGCTGAATTTCCCCCCAGCTTTGCTTTTTTTCCCCGAGATCAGGGGCTGATGCTGATTTTGGTCGTGGAGAAGGGACAAAAAATATAGGCATATTAAGAGAATTTCATGTGAGCCTATAGAGTGCAGGCAGCTCGGCTGGATCACTAATGCAACAGGAAACCTCGGGACAGACTCAGCCTAATTAACAGTTTTCCATAGCTGAAGCGATTTTTAAGAATCCCAGTGGATTAGCCCAATATGTTCAGGTGTGAGGCTACGAGGGCCTATAACTCCTTTCACTATAATCTTATAACCTCCTTACCTAATTCCTTAGATTGCAGATAGGAAGAGTCTGACCCTGGAGGTCGTAAAGAGCTGGGTTTCATTAACCCTTCCCTCCCCGGCGCCGCTCCAAGGTTAACTGCGCCGGGCTGTGTGCTCGGGGGAGCGAGGGAGGGCGGGCAGGAGAAAAGGATTTGCAAGAGGGGTCGATCAGACGGGAGGGCCAAGCTTAAAATGATTTCTGCTCCCTTCGTTCCCTCCCTTGAGCCAAAGGAAAAATGGAAATAGGGAACTTTTCTCTTTCCCATGCATCGGGAGGTGCATAAATGTGCGGATGTTTGTGAAACAATTCGTCCCCTTTAAACCATTTCATTATTGTTTATTGTTTTTAAATTTATATTTTTTTTCCCGAACGTCTGGGAAATGAAACATTCTAGAACCATCAGCAAAAAGCAAAGCAATCTCCATCTTTAGGACCAGTACCAATCGCTTGAGCTTCTTGTCCACAGTAGAGCTGTAATCTTTAAAGAAAAAAAAAAAATCTAGAAAAGCTTCTCAGACTGTATTTGCCTGGGAACACACCTGGTTTATATTTTAATAGGTAGTTACATTGTATTGATTCAGGGTACATCATTGATGTTGAAAGTTAATAACTCTCAAATTATATCTATCTGCCTACATACATAATTGCATACACAGTATAACACTGGAGGAATTTGCATTTTGCAGCACATTCTTTGTTCTTAAATCTTTTAACACATTGAATTGTTCCTTTGAAGAAAGTGTTATTGAACCACATGTTTAAGGAAAAGATGCTTCTAAACTATATGTTTAAGCAATGAAATTGTTGAGTGAAATATGGATTTCTTTGTATCTCACACAAACCCTGCCACACGCCAATCTTAACCTATACATCGAACTGCCTTTTTTTTTCCCCCCTCCCAGTCAGAAGGCAGAAATATGTGAGCTGCTGAGAGAGGTGGGTACTTTTTGGTAAGTATGTTTAGATATGATCTTCAGATACATTTATTGTACTTTCAAATTCTTGGGATACTAATTGAGCTAGCAAACAATATCCCAGCTGAATGTCTCAGCTTCTTCCCTATTTAACAAGCTTTAATACAGAAGTATATTGTAGCCATCCTTCTACTAAACAATATAGCTGAGGAGTCAGCAAAAAATGAAAAAAACATGTTAAAACCAAATTATAATTGCTGCCTTATATCTGACTCTTCTGCCTTTCTGCAGTCCTAATGAACTCTTTAAAGTTTTATTTATTTATTTTTTTTATTTCTGAGTGACAGATCAAAAATAATTAGCAGAATCAGAAGCAGCCGGGAAGCTTGAAATAATGTGTCTAAATATTTCATATTGCTACTTATAATACCAACCCATCAGCTGTAAAAAAGAACCGTTCCCTGTTTATTCCGTGGTAGTTTATAAATACAGAAAGATAGATTCTTTTTTTTCCCAGGGCCTGCTTCAGCAATGCCATAAATAGAGATTGAGCTATCAGGAAAAAAACCAAACCAGAATAAAATAAAAACAAAAGCCTGTACAGATATAGAGACAGACAGATAAATGTATAACTGCATCTGAACGGTGTTACATAGCACGTTAGGAGATGGGCAAAAAAAATTAAATCGATCGCATATTTATAACCTCATAATTAAAATACAGTCTTATCTCTCTCCCCTGAAAGGTTGCAGCTTTCTTGGAAGTATTTTGAGTGCATATTTTAAACTCCATGTCCCGAACGGAATTAAGATGAGCTGTTTTGCCCAAGAGTGAAACCCTTGTTTACAATTTAAGGTTTAAGTTTCAGCTGCCTACTCATCGCCATATCATTTTCTTTACATCTCACGTCCTTACATTTGCAGGCTTTATCTAAATTTATGTTAGTTTATATCAAATTCTAATTTCTGTTTATAAGAAATCAGTCAATATAATCCAAAACAATCCCCCTTGTTTGATGAAGGTAAACTGGAAGAGAGTCTTTCACATTCAAAGGGTTAAAGCTAAACCGAAAACTTTAAATTAAAGAGACACCAGCAAACGGCGAAAAATTACACGTTTGCTCTCTCTTGACAAGCTTGCACTATATCACATGTAAGGAAGCCCAAATTTTTGAATCTAAGACCAGTTTTAGTTTTTAATAGGAAATAATTACATGGAACTTTATTTCCAGAGAGAATGTCCCTTCCAGCTACAGTGTTTTGCTTTGATCTAAGCATTAACTGGTAATAAAATAACCATATTTTGGATCCTAAGCATATTGATGCTTAGAGGAATGTTATGCTTTCAATCAAATTTTAACTTTAGATTATCCAAAGGTATTCATCCTTCTTTTGTCCGAAACCAATTTGCTGTCTTACTCCTACAGCTACTCACATGTGGTTCAGTATACTTTGTTATTTTATAGTGGAATTTGCACTATTGAGGTGGAAAACTCTTAGATGGAGCGAGGTCATGTTCCAGTCTGGCAATTTGGGCTGTTTCT